AGGAGAACCAAATAGTTGTTGCAAGGAGGTTTCTCTTTATAAAAGAATTCCAACTGATAAATGAAGATAGAATGATAGAATATCGCCACTGTGCCGTCCCCTAATGCAGTAATGGATTAGGTATCGAGCATCAACATTTCCTAATGCAACACAGGAGAAACAACCATACTAAGTTGATACTAGGTGGCTAACTATGGGAGTATATTATGTTCATCTTGCCAAAAAATAAAATCTGAACCTGATCAAGCAGCTTGGTCCCACCACCAATTTACATGATGTAAAAGGGATATAGGAAAATGTTAAAATGTACCAGGAATGCAAGCAGCAAAATTGAGATGGTGGGAAACTCTGCTGGACATCTAACCTGGTTTCTTCAGTAAATATATTGCAAGGGGGGAAAAGAAGACAAAAAGAAAAACAGGGGGTGGCTTAAAAGGGACTGAGGCATATTAGCCTACTGCAGTGTGTAGACTTTAATCCTAATTCAAACAGAGGGCAAAAGCCATATTTTTAAAGAGAAAACTAGAAATTTGAACGTTGATCCTATTTGGTGATTTTAAGGGATTATTGTTAGCTTCTTTAGGTGTGAAAATCACATCATGGTTATATTTTTTTACAGATTTTATTTATTTATTTGTCAGAGAGAGACAGAGCGTGCACTAACAGGGGGGGAGGAGCAGAAGGAGAGGGAGAAGCAGACTCCCTGCTGAGCAGGGACCCCGATGTGGGATTCATTCCCAGACCCTGGGATCATGACCTGAGCCGAAGGCAGATGCCCAACCAACCGAGCCACCCAGGCGTCCCATGGTTATATTTTCTTTTAATTGAGGTATAACTCACATACAACAAAATTTACCATTTTATAGGGTAGAATTCAGTGGTTTCAGCATTTTCACAAGGTTGTACAATGATCACCATTATTCAATTCCAGAATGCTTTCATTACCCCAGAAAGAAACCCCATACTCATTAGTTGTCACTTGCCCTTCCCTTCTTTCTCTTGTTTCCTAACAACCAGTAATCTACTGTCCCTATGGATTTGCCTGTTATGGGCATTTCGTATCAATTGATCATACAATAAATAGACTTTTGTGACTGGGTTTTTCCACTAGCATGTTTTTAAGGTTTATCTATGTAGTAACATGTATAAGGACTGCATTCATTCCTTGTTATGGTCAAATAATATTCCATTGAATGGATATATCACATTTGGTTTATCCTTTCATCAGTTGATGGACACGTACTGTTTCCACTTTTTGGCTATTATGAATAATGCTGCTGTGAACATTTATGTACAAGTTTTTCTTAAAGATTTATTTATTTGAGTGGGGGAGGGGCAGAGGGACAGAATCTTAAGCAGACTCCCTGCTGAGCAGGAAGTTATATGTGGGGCTCAGTCCCACAACCTGTGAGAGAAACCAAGTGTGGAGGCTCAACCTGACTGAGTCACGCAGATATCCCTATGTACAAGTTTTAGTGTAAGCATTGTTTCCACTTCTCTTAGGTATATACCCAGAAGTGTAGTTGCTGGGTCATGGTAACTCAATGTTTCATGTTTTAAAGAACTATCAAACTGCTTTCCACAGTAACTATACCATTTTACATTCTCACCAACAATGTATGAGGACTCCACACCTTAGCCAACATTATGTCTTTTTTTATTATAGTCATCCTAGTGATTGGCAATTAGTATCTCATTATGGTTTTGATTTACATTTCCTTAATGACTAATGTTGTTGAGCATCTTTTCATGTGCTTCCTGGCTATTTATATATATTTTGGGGGCACATATCTATTTGGATCCTTTGCTTGTGTTTTAATTGTGTTGTCTCTTTATTGTTGAGTTATAAGAGTTCTTTATATATTCTAGATGTATTATTATGTATATCATTTTATTAGTATATGATTTATGATTATTTTCTTCCATTCTTTTCACTTTTTTTGAATTGTGAATTGTCTTTTCCCTTTTTTTTTTTTTTAAGATTTATTTATTTATTTGACAGAGAGAGAGACAGTGAGAGAAGGAACACATGCAGGGGGAGTGGGAAAGGGAGAAGCTGGCTTCCCGCCGAGCAGAGAGCCCGATGTGGGGCTCAATCCCAGGACCCTGGGATCATGACCTGAGCCGAAGGCCTGAGCCAATCAGGCGCCCCTCTTTTTTTTTTTTAAGATTTTATTTATTTATTTGAGAGAGAGAGAGCACACCAGCAGGAGGAAGGGGCAGAGGGAAGGGGAGAAGCAGACTCCCCATCTGAGCAGGGAACCTGACGTGGGGCTCCATCCCAGGACTCTGGGATCACAACCAGCGTCAAAGGCGCTTAACTGACTGAGCCACCCAGGCGCCCTATCTTCAGTCTCTTGATACTATTGTTTTATGTACAAAAGCTTTTAATTTTTTTAAAGATTTTATTTATTTATTTGACAGAGAGAGAGTACAAGCAAGGGGAAAGGCGGGGAGAGGGAGAAGCAGGCTCCCGCTGAGCAGAGAGCCCGATGTGGGGCTCAATCCCAGGACCCTGGGATCCTGACCTGAGCCGAAAGCAGACACTTAACTGACTGAGCCACCCAGGCGCCTCGCTTTTAATATTGATAAAGTCCAATTTATCAATTTTTTTCTTTTGTTGGTTGTGCTTTTGGTGTCATATCTAAGAAAGGTTACCAAATTCAAGGTCATGAAGATTTACACCTATGTTTTCTTCTTAGCGTTTTATCATTTTAACTCTTACATTTAGGTTGTCGATCCATTTTGAGTTAAATTTTGCATATGGTGTGAGGTAGAGATTTACCTGTGGATATCCAGTTGTCCCAGCACCATTTGTTGAAAAGACGATTTTTCCTCCATTGAATTGCCTGGACAACCTTATCAAAAATCAATTGACCATAGAAGTATGGGTTTGTTTCTGGAATCTTAATTCTATTTATTTTATGGCTATTTTATGCCAGTATCATACCTCTTTGATTTCTGTAGCTTTGTAGTAGGTTTTGAAATTGGGAAGTGTGAGTCTTCCAAATTTGTTTTTTCTTTTGAGGATTGTTTTATCTATTCTGATCCATTGAAATTTAGGGGCAGCTTGTTCATTTCTGTGAAAAAACAGTTGGAATTTTGATCAGTATCACATTAAATCTGTTGATAAATTTTAACAGTATTAAATTGTCCAATCCATGAACACAGACATATTTCCATTTATTTGGTCTTCTTTAATTTCTTTCAACAATATTTTGTAGTTTTCAGTATACAAGTCTTGTGCTTCTTGGTTAAATTTATTCCTAAATATTTTCTTCTTTTTGATTCTATTATAGATGGATTTTTTCTTAATTTCATTTTCATATTATTCATTGCTAGTGTACAGAAATAAAATTGATTTTTTTATATTGCTCATGTATCCTTTTACTTTGCTGAACTAATCTATTAGGACTAATAGTTTTATTCATATGTATTTTTAGGATATGTCATCTGTAAATGAAGATAATTTTATTTCTTCCTTTCTAATTTGGGTGCCTTTTATTGTTTGTTTGTTTTTTTAAGTGCCCTTATCTTTTAAAGATAAGATTTGAAATATTTCTAGAAAAAAATGATGTCTGGGATTTACTTCAGAATAATATGGAGGGGAGATACAAGAAGATAAACAAGAGGTGCCATGTGTTAAAGCTGGGTGATGGATGTGTGAGGGTTCATTATACTAATCTCCTTATTTTTGTAAATACTTTAAAATTTCCATAATAAAAACCAAAATGAACACTCCTGGAGTCCTCACTTTGGATGGACTTTTGGACTCAGAATGTCTGGGTAAGGAGTGAACTTTTTAAACAAGCTCCCCAGACTATACCTATAGAAAATATTGTTTGAGGGTTTCCATCCCAGTCTGTGAATTACAAGTGAACAGAGCTTTCTTTATCCTGGCCCAGGATGCCCTCCAGGTTTTCACCACCTTGGTGCTTTGCCAAACTCAGGTCTGTGTTCGAGAAGCCATGATGAAAGATGCCCCTTTACTTTCACAAAAACCTGTGATTAGGCAATGTCATTTGTATATATTGACTTAGTGAATATTTTGGTTGCTGGAAATGTTAAATTTCATTAACTTGTCACTCAATTAGGCCACTGCCACAAAAAAGGGGGGGCCATGCATACATGGTTGAACCCAAGTTTTTAAATTAATATTCCACTTGTTTCTACCTTTTGCCTCATCGCTATCAAGTACCACAAGTTTAAGAACAAACTGCCTTCAAACCAAATGTCAGCAAACTGTGTAGCGTCACACAAGCCAATTTTTCTTTGTTTTTTTTACATGAGAATAACTTAGCAGTTCAACAGAAGTAGATTGTTTTATTTTAAAATACAATAAGAAAAAATATCTAATTCTGCCTTCTAGATTTTGAAGGTGAAACTATATAGCTCTCTGAGCCTTATTTTTGGGTACTATTTAAAAATTTTGTTTCCACCAAGTTTAGACCACACAGGCTGCCCCCCAGAGTTGCCCCTTCTGGGCCCCGTTTTTGCTTTCCATAGCTGCACTCATCTGAACTTCAGACTCCAACTGAGCCCTGACTTTTGGTTTGATACCCTCTGAGCAGTCAAGCCCTTGCTCTGTTGGCATATTACTTTGAACTTCTTACGGCTCTGTTGCTGCCGTCATTATTTCTCTTGTATGTGGGGCTCTCTCCATCAGTCTTTTCTGTTCCTTCTCTTCACAGTCCTTGGCACAAAAGTGCTCAATGGATGTTATTGGCTGACATCCAGTCCTATCCAACTTTACTAAATAGCACACCTACAGAAACTAAACATTACGCTATCATGGGATCCCAGGCATTTGAAAGAATATTGTAACATGCGCCGCCCAGGTTTATGTTTAGCATTTAGCAGCGGAGCAATGAAGGCAACTGCAAATATGAAGTTCATTTGCAGTTCAGCAGAGAAGTACTTGTTTTGCACACAAACGAAACCCCATACATCCACATCTTGCCAGTTGTGCTTTTTCGTAGAACTTACATGTAGTGACTGCATCTTAAATTAATGTCCAGCACTGCCAGGGAATTTTCAGGGCTGAGGCCCTCGTACTGATGTTTGTCCTCGGTCAGCCCATTTGGTGCTTGAGATAATGCCCAGTAGATAGGAGAACGGTTTCCTGGAAGTGAAAGAGCAAATTCCTCTGAGCATTCCTCATGGTGTCAGGAATTGCTTCTCTTGAGGAAGGAATTGAAATCATTTGGCCATCTCTCTTTACCCATAGTCTCAATTTCCTGACATTCAGAGTTTTTCAGTGACACATTCTGCTGGGCGTGTGAACTGACCAAACAGGGTGTGGCCTCACAGAGCGTGCTGTGGTGAGCAGACCGTCTGACCTCTTGTTTCCAGCTGAGACAGGGCCAGTGTTTGCGTGCATGTGTGTGCGTGCGTGTGTTAGCAAAGGATAGGGTTTGACTTTGATCAGTTCAGCTAACTTTGTGAGGAACATAAAAGCAAACCAAAAAAAACGGTGAAGTGGCGACATAAGATTATGGGATATCGACAAGTTCAAAGTCATCTTTGTATTTCCAGTCTAACCTGTAAATCCTATGTTTTTTCTCTTTTTCTAACAGCACTAAAGGAAAAGTAGGGTTATCCCTGAATCAGAACCCCGAGTTTTAGAGATCCACCATAACACATTGCTCTACCCTTGCCAAACAAAATGCTTGTCAGGCCTTAAAAAGGCTTAGAATTAATCCCACAGCTGCCAGTTATGATATTCGACTTGTGGCGTTCCTTCCTAAGTTTAGGGAAATTCCATTCAAAGTCCCCAAATTCTTTGTTTTGTTTTTTTTTTTTTCAGCATATACAGCATGTGGAGTTTAATATGGATAGTTTTATGAAAAAACAATTCTGTATCTACAGGATGTTGGTCACAACTGTGCTTTACTTAAAAATCATCATAAATGCCCTATTTATATTTTCTGTTCATGATTTCTAAGAAAGCACAGCTATGGGCTATAATTGGTAGCATATGGTGCTATTACCTTCTGTAGAAATGCATTTCCCTCCCTCAATTTGATGTTAATAATTTGATTCATTAGGCTGAAAACTCGCCGAAAGATTGTTGGCTTTATCCTTCCATCTAGGATGTTCTTTTCACTCTTTTGAGATTTGGTAAGCTCCAGCTCCTCAAAATTTTTCCTTGGATAAAAATTTTATTTATTCAACAACCATCTACCATATGCCAGGGCCTTCACATACATTGTGTTATTTGATCCAATGACACCGTGAGAAGGATACGAATCCCTGCTTTATAAATGAGGAAACCAAGGCTCTGAAAAGTTTTGATGAAATTGGTCAAGATCTCACAACTAACCAGATATGTTGGCTCCAAAGACTGGCTCTTTCCAGCGCACTCAGCTGCCTCCCAGACCAGAGGTTATAGGCTTGTAATCCAGGATCAGGAAAAGTTTTGTGGAGGAAGTGGCAGGATGGGGAGCTCTTTTAAATCAGAGTGATAGAAGCTTTCAGAGCAACAAGTGGGAAAAAGTACTAGGGATCAAAACCATGTGGAAAATAAACAGATCTGCAACATACACACAACCTTTCTGGGCACCTGAAATCACACCATTAGAAAGTAGTTACTTTCAATCGTTCTATCACATTAATGGATCACCTCCTAGGTGCCAGCCTTGTTCTAGGGTGCTGAGGATGAGCTAAGACTAAAGTAATCCCGTCATAGTGCAGTTGACAGTAGCAGGGTAAGGTCTCTCCTTCCTTCCCCCCCTTCACTTAGTAATTCATTTATACCTTTCTTTTCCAGGAGCTTCAGAAGTGCATCCAGGAGACAAGACTCAGAGAGAAGCCCGGGAGTGGGTTCTGGGTGGTGGACTATCCCTGGGATGGCAGAACTGCCCATGGGCATCAGTTACCCCAGGGAGTCTGTCTGTGTCCAGCCTGGGTCCCATCTCGGAGGGGAGGGAGATGCTACCAGGCAGGCAGAGGAGGAGGGAGGCTGTTGGGAATAACCCATTTACTCTGAATGGCGTCCTGGTCCACCTGTCTAGGCCTTTGTTCAGAGTCTTGTTGCCTTGGTCCTAGTGAGGACCAGTCTTCCTCACACACCTGCACCTGCCTGGTGTGCTCATCTCACCCAGAGATGAAACCGCCTCCATTTTTGTCTCCCCTACAAGAGGAGAGCTCTTCACAGGTGAGGCGGGCTTAGTCCTCTCTCCTTTGGCTTCACACAGGCTGGGGTGCAGTAAGGCTGAATCAGGCTGAAGGGAGGGAGGGAGAGGTGGGCCTGGGGAACAAAGGAGCTCAGAGCGGATGGTGAAAAGGAGCTTCCTTCAGGAAAGAAAAAAGGTGGGATGCATGTGATGTTGGTTAGACCCAGAGGTAGACAGGCAACTCTGGGATTTAACGGATGTGAGGCTCCTCCTTTCTCCCTATAAGCCCAACTGGACTCTGCGCATCAACCTTATAAGCCGAGTGGGAGTTGTGAACCAGTAAGTCAGCCTGAACTTGGTTTCCTGATGTGTTCTGTTTCACCAGCATTGTGTATTCACAAAAATTGACTTTGTGAACTTTTAGATGAGGTATGTGTCCCCCCACAGGCCCCAGTGTTCTTTATTTCTTACAGAGGTCCAAACACAGGGTCATTTTACTGACCCTGGTTGATCTGTGGAGGTGTTTGCATATCCTGAGTTCTATGGCAATATCTGGGGGAGGTACCCGAAAAGCAGGAGTCGCTGACATCCCCCTCTTTGTCATTCCCTATGTAACCAAATTCCCTATGTAAGCCAAATTTTGTTGATCTTGCCTCCTCAGCAGCCCCCGTACCCATCCAATTTTTCCATGCCCACTGCTGTGGCTCTGGGGTGACAGTTGGCAACCTTTTCCTGTAATAAGCCAGAAAGCAAATATTTAGGCTTTACAGGCCATATGGTATCTGTCACAACTACTCCAGTCTAGTGTAGGGCAAAAGCAGCTATAGATAATATGTAAATGAATGAGTGTGGTTGTGTTCTCATAAAGCTTTATTCATGGACACCGAACTATAGATTCATAAAATAGTCATGAATCATGAAATATTATTATTTTTCTGACTTTTTCCCCTATTTAAAAATATAAACACCATTCTTAGCTCAGGGCCCACATAAAACCAGGTAGTGGCCTAGATTTGGCCCATGGGCCGTGGTTTGCTGACTCTTCGTTATGGGTTGAGTTGTGTCCCTCCAAAATTCATATGTTGGAGTCCTAAACCCCAGTATCAGGATGTGACCTTATTCAGAGATACAGTCTTTGTACTGGTAATCAGGTTGAAGTGAGGTGGTCAGGTTGGGCCCTAATCCAGTATGATTATATGTCCTTATAAAAAGGGGAAATTTGAACACAGACACATACAGAGGAAGACCATGTGAAGACACAGGAAGAAAATGACCACCAACAAGCCAAGGAACACCTGAAGCTACCAGGAGCTCGTAGAGAGGTCTGGAACAGATTCTCCCTCACAGCCCTCACTAGGAACCTGTCTATTGACATCTTGATCTCCGATTTCTACCCTCCCCGACCATGAGACAATACATTCCTGTTTAAGCCCCCCCAGTTTGTGGTATTTGTTAGGCAGCCTCGGCAAACCCCTCTCGCCCTGCTCTGAGGAAGCGCCCTCATCTCTCACCTCTGTGAGGCCTGTGACTGCTTAAGCTCCTTCCTGACCAGCCCCACCATCTGCTCTCCACACAGTGGCCAGAGCGATCTTTTTACAATCACGTCAGTCCTCAGTGTAGACCTTCTCAGTGACTGCCTGCTGTTCTGAGGTAGATAAAGAACCGCAACCTTACCCTTCCCAGAAGTCTGGCCCTGCCTGCCCTCTAAACCTTTCCTTTCAACTCCCCGCCCTTGTGCCCTCCTGCCTCGGACACTTCCCGTGGCTGTGGTGTGACCATTGCCTTCAAGGGCCCCTTCCTTGTATATGTGTATAAAGGCAAATATAATTGATAATTGACATTACATTCATATTTTTCTTTTGATTTTAAAAGATGTTAAAATTAGAACGTTTTTGTGGGCCTGATAAAGAGGTTGCCCTGGCAGTTCCCTCTACCTCATGGTGAGGCTGAAGGGGGACATGAGAGGGACTCAGGTCACCAACATCTCCTTCAGCCCCTCCAAGTAAACTTTTGTGGTCCCTAAATCACTCCTATTAGCATCACCAAGAGGGGGTTTGTTTGGTGAAAAACATGAGGGTCCTTCCAGCAAGAGTAGACTGGCTACCATCTTCAAAGGACACTCGTTAGCCCAGCACTCCCTCCCCCATATAGAAATTCTCCAGTACCCAGGCCAGGGATGCTGCTCCCACCCCAGCCCTACCCTTTGCCTGGTTACCTTCCACTCACCCTTTAGCTCTCAGATGTCATTCCTTCAGGAAGAGCATCCCTGACTGCCTCCTGTGCCCAACAGGTTAGAGGAATTAGATGATATGACACTTACTACTGTTTCTAATCATGCATTTGTTTTTGATTTAGGGCCACCTCCTCCTTCTTGGAGCGGTAATTTCTATGATGACAGGGTTCTGTCTGAGTTTGCTCATCACCATTATGATCTCAATGCCCAGCACTGTGCCTGGAATTCGATATACATGTGATAAATGAATGAATGACAAAGTATTTCTAATTCTTGAAATTCCACCTAAAGAGATTCAGTCCTTTGAATCTTAAAGGCTTTACATCTCCTGGGTTCCCTTTAAAATGCAAATACTCAGTGGTTATTAGTTATGGAGGAAATGCAGCATCGGAATGGGCTCAGACATGGTGACCACACGTGGGACCGGCACTGTCTTGGGGACATAGCGATACAGCATTGGTTACCTTCCATGAGGACTTCAAAGAAACTCCTCTCTTACTTTTGACCTTCTTTTAGGGATCACTAATAAAAAGGACTGTGTGGCTCAGTTGGTTAAGCGGTTAAGCATCTGCGTTTGGCTCAGGTCATGATCCCAGGGTCCTGGGATTGAGCCCCACATTGGGCTCTTTGCTCAGCGGGGAGCCTGCTTCTCTTTCTCCCACTCCTCCTACTTGTGCTCTCTCTCTCACTCTCTTTCTTTCTGTCACAGAAATAAAAAGAATCTTAAAAAAAAAAAAAGGACTTGGGCTCAGGCAGTATTTCTAGTGCATTTAG